GCCATTTTGTTCACAAAATACGTTGAATTCTATTAAAAAAAATACTCTCCACATCTATCACTTCTTAAAGTTTTTATTTTTCTTCCTAATTGATTTTCAACTTCTGCTTTATATACATTAAATACATTGAATGCTTTGTCTTTATGTTTTAAAAGATAAACATAAATATATTTAGAATAATCATCAATGAATGTAATGAAATATCTATTACTTCCTCTTGTTAGCATGCCATTCAATTCACATATACCAAAATGCACAAGTTCAAGTAATTGAGATTTTCTGACTACACTATAAAATGACTGTTCAATCACCTTTGATTTAATACATGTTTCGCACTTTTCTAAGTTATCAACTTCACATTGTATTAATTCATATTTAACCATTCTTTTCATAATGTTAATTTTTATGTGTGCTAATCTAGCATGCCATAAATTAAATGAATCAATAACAAAAGCAAAACATTTATTTTTATTAAAATCATTCTCAAAATTACGAAGTTTGACCATTCATTCATTAGAATAGCACTTTCCAACAAAATAACAATTATGAGTTAATACAAGTTTTCCCTACTCAAATACAGATTTGATTCCCGATTTTCCCAAGAGAACCCCACTTGCTAAGTTCATATACATTTTCGGTACATGAAGGACATTGATCAAAGTAATCTTCTTTTCCGAAGTAAAGATAATCTCCACATTCCCTTTGCCAGTCACTTTAAATCTTCCTTCATTTTCATTTGGATCTCTTGATCATAATCAATGTCACGATAAGTTTTGAAAAGAGATTTATCATAACACACATGGATGGTTGCTCAGGTATCATACCACCAACTCGGAACCTTGCTTTGGATTGTATTGATTTCGCTCACCATAGCGATAATCTCATCAATATAATTCACTTATCCTTCATTCTTTTGTTGCTTTTTGTGCCTACAATCTCTTGCATAGTAACTCGATTTTCCACAAACATAGCAAGGTCTTTTGGACTTGGTTTTCAACTTCCATTGATCCTTTTTAGGACCAAGAGGCTTTCCTATCTTCTTCTACTTGTTGGAGTTATTCACATTGCCCACAGTATTGGCTTTTGAAGAACTTCATAAAAAATTTTAGTTTTATCTATTGCCATTGATTCTTTCTCTATGCGAAAATATTTTTGAATGTATTCCAAAGAGGGGTATTCAAAATTGTGAAGAATCTTCTTCATATATCATTTCCAAGTCCCTGAGAGCTTAGCAATAATTTCTCCCGCTTGAAAGGATTCAGGAAATTCGATTTTCACCGCTTTTAATTTGTTGACAATGACTTGTAATTCATGTACTTGAAGTAACAAAGGAATATTATCTAACATTTTGAAATCAAAGTATTTAGATATAAGAAATTTCTTGGTACCTTCCTCCTTAACCTTATATTTGTTTTCAAGATTATCACATATTTCTTTACCTAAGTGGAGTTAGTGTAGAGATTATACAACCAATCTGAAAGAGCATTTAGGATGTAACCGAGACATATCAATTTGTCCTCTTGCCTCTTCTTTCTCTCGGTATGAACTTCTTCCTTATCTTCTTCGGTTGTATCGGCAATTGGTTCCAAGTTTGTATCAAGTACATAAAAGATCTTTTAATGTTGTTAGAAGGAATTTGAGTTTGTCTTGCCATCTTGTGAAGTTTGATCCTTCAAACCTATCCAAGTGCACCAGATCTTGATTCATTAACTTGATGGTAGCCAACGTAGTTTCCGTCTCCATCACAGTAAAAGGCAATTATCGTTTTTGGATTGTTGGAAATATCGAAGAGGAAAAGAAGGTGATGGATACAAGAAATGAAGAATAAGGCTCAAACACATATGTGATATGTTGTCCTAAAAATGATATTTGCCTCCACTAGTATGCTTTTAGGATTTCAAACAAATAGTTTAGTGAATTGACAAGCCTTAAAAAAAGAAGCACAAAAGCAAAAATGATTCTTTCTAGTCGAACTTCTTGAAAACTTGAAAAATATTTGAATATGTATTAGAACGGGGAAAAATCAAGTGTAGAAATGAATGGTGATATCTTATGTTGTTTTCTTATATTTGGAATTGAAAATCTATCACCTATTTATAGATTTCTAACATTTCACCATGAAAAGGCTCCAAACACTCGGGAAAAGTTTGGAACTTTCCACCCAAAGGCACTAGAAATTCAAATAGAAAATCGGCTCAATAGCTAAATTTTTACGCATGGTAAAAGCAAAATTACTTTTGTTTTCTGCAAACAATACGCATTGTAAAAGCAAAATTACTTCTGTTTTCTGCAAACAATGCCGCTTACACATGGCCATTTTACCAGTGCTTACACATGGTTAAGCATAAATTACCTAACAATGCCTTTCAATTTCATCCAACATTGTCGTTTAATTTCATCATTAATTCATTCACATTTCAACCCTAAATGGCCCAAATTTTGAAGAAAAAACAATTATATAACACAAAAATCACTGGAAATAAAGTCCGTAGTAACCGGAGTGAATGGGCACTGCATGAAAACGTGGGTGATAGTCTCGGTCTGCTCCCCACAGACCACATTTAGAGGCTAACTAGACCCCCTTTGACAGTAAATTTTCCGTTGAGACTTTACCATGTAGTATACGCCAAAGCACGACGGGAAATATATGGCGTCCAAATCTTACTTCCCCACTCCACAATCTCAATAAGCTTCCATGCAAGATACATCCCGTTGAAGATGCTGTCTAAATTAGTTCATCGGGAACATTCAGGATAGGAATGCTTTGCTCAATCAAGGCCGAAACATATGGAAATCAAATCCATAGATAAATGTCAGCACTTAGCATAGATAACATCCAACACTGATGCCATAAAAACTATAAATCTGATACAATCGGTACGCTTTAGCATTCTGAACTAAATCCCGTGTGCTCAACCAAATTCAGGTGTTGAACATGCTCAGGATGCTATGAAAAACAATTAAATTTGACGTCAAAATGGAAAAGCAGTCACTTTTAGTTAGTGATAGTCGATATTTATTTCACATGGAAAAATATTACCTTGAGGGCATATTTAACAGCAACTTATCCTCCATAAGGAATGTCCATAAAGTTGTTAAGATAGTTTGCCTTGCACCATTTCTCGTAGGAATCGATAAACCAGGACTCGATTTCTATTTACAAGTTCAAGTTATGTATTAGACATGCTATTGTTTTCAACTCAAAGATGAATTTCGCTTCATAGCTTGCAAAAACTAATTAAGTGAAGCTTTTGCAACTGTCGACTGATGAACTTATCGAGACCGGGTAGCAAATAAATATGAAATGACTAAATTCAGGGTCGACTATATGAATTTCCCCAAACATCAACCATAAGTCCACAATATAATAGATGACTCAAAATGGAAATTTCATTAACCCGAGCTGATCAATAGCAATGACTTAGAAATGTCTAGCAAGTAAATCAAAATTCAGGAAAAAGAAGCCTCACGAAGCTGTCTGACGAGATTTTGCTATCAAATGCAAACGTGGTAATAAACCTCGACTCATTGCTCTGGGATCTAAACCACTGGATTTTCAACCCCGGTGGACCCGACCCAATATTGAGCTACTCTTGTTCATACAGAGTATTAGTACAATTAAGCTCCTTTGTCAGAAAGAGTTTGACACTCTCATTGACACTCACATGCGTGTGGGACGGGCGTGGGATCCATGTGAATAAAAAATTCTAAAAAAGTGCTCCCATATTGTGATTGTAAAGGGTGTCATAGCATCATTGGTCCTACTAAGTAGTACTACAAAACTAGATAATCCTAAAACTAGAATTAATGAATGACATGTAATAGTTTTTCAATTTCGTGTACTTTTCAACGGGTTTGCCTTATACAGAATTGTTTCTTCTGTATTTTATACCAATACTCACAAATGTATGGGACCCACTAAATTAAAAATAAATAAATAAAATCCACCCCCCTCTTTTCTATAAGTATAGCAAGGTTCCTTTTCAACAGCCACTCTGCGATTTCTCGTTATCCAAACTTTACACGACTTTGCATTATACTTAATTATTTTGTGGCTTCTGTACATGCTTGCATTCCAGCCTGTTTTGTCTAGCCAATGTGCTAGACATTTCTACCTTCGTTTGATTTAACTAAAAATCAATTTTTAATAAATTTGAATAAAATTTAATAAAATTATGAACTTGAAAATAAATTTTAAGAAATAAAATTCAAATTTAATTTAAAACCATCCGTCAAGTGAAACCAGCTTCACCATGCATATAAAATAGACTGTGTGTGTGTTCGATTGGCACATCATGACTAGTTTGTGAAAAATTTAATTGTTGACAAGCCTAGAAACAACTAAACTATTAAGAACCGACCTTTCTCGATTTCATTTTAAAATTTAGTCCACGCATTCATAATTCTCTATTCTGTCGAAACCAACAATGGAATTATTATATTAATCCCTTTTGCTGTTCAAAATAAGTTATTTATTTGCTTCAAAATATAAATAAACAAAAATTTACTTAAAAAAGTAATTCATAATTGTTTTTAAACTTCGCCAAACACGCTCTAAGACCTCAATCACAATACTGGAGAATTCAAATCTAGAATGGGCAATGCAATTGTCCAAATATTAAGCAAATATTGTTATTCAGAGTAAATGGGAAACCACAAATATTTTGGAGAATGGAATCAAAAATATATTCAACAGATTCATACATAACACCAAGGGAATCTAAAATATTTGTCCTTTCAAAATATATCATTACAGAACTATTTGAGAACTTTATTCCTGAGAAGACCAAACTCCTCATCTACAATCTATCATCAGTGCAATATCAACAATCCACACTTCCTCATGCTAAGCAATTGCCAAGCACATATAAAGTTTCAAAAGAAATAAAAATAAATAAAAAACACAGCCACATCCAAGCTATCATTTTGAATCGCGGAAAACATAATTTAATGTGAAATTGATAGTAATAAACCATACTTCTCAAGCCAACTGTTGCCTTCTAGTCTGCCCTTGACTGACCAGCTCGAGAAGAGAGGATGATGCCAACAATAAGGCCATAAAGTGCCAGCGCTTCAGCGAAGATAAGAATAAGAATCATCCCAACAAAGAGCTTTGGCTGTTGTGCATTGGCTCTGTGAAAGACAATAATAAGGTAAAAAGTAACTACTATGATGTGTCCTGACCTAAAGAGACGAACAGGCAACCACAATGAATGAAACTGATAGTCTTTTTTAAGAAGATAGTGGTTCAACTAAACTCTGGATAGATGGAACCACAAAAACACATCATAAACACGATAATATAAACAGTTTCCAATTAGTTAGGGATCGGCTATAGGAATCAATTTCCATCACTTTGTTCCGCTAAATGCTATATCTATTGAAAAATATAGAAAGCCCCACTTCACTAAATTTCAGAAGTAAAGCATTACTCATGCAAAATAGACTTTATGCGATGCTTAAATGCCGAAAATCTTGGAAGAAAGGAAGGGAGAGGGCGAGGAGGAGAGAGAGAGAGAGAGAGAGAGCAACCTGAACTTCACACATGAAAGCGAGTAGTAAAGTATTCAGCAGAAGCTCCAAATAACATGCTAAAGACTCGCAGGGTTAGAGGATCTCCAATAGCCTCTTTATTAGCCACACTCTTTATTTTAGAGAACCCACCACTTTTTAGGAGGTCAACAAACCATCGATAGGTAAAATTTAAAATAAAGAGTAGATTTGACTCTCCAAATCTAGAGAGACAAATCAACTCTCTATATAATAATTTTAGCGCTTTCATTTATTATTTCACAATTTTCCATGCACTTCTTTCAAATAAAAAAAATGAAAAAAGGGGAAGCTAAGTAAAATAGTTGGGCAATAATTGTTTATGCTAAAAACCAATGGAAAGTCTGACGGTACTTCTCATATAGTTATTCCTTATTTTGCTTATTCCCCTAAATAATTATAACCCAACCCTTTGTTTTTCCTTTTCTTAACTTGTTTCTCTTCAAAGAAGTGCACACGAAGTTGTAAAATAACAAGTAAAACCAATAAAATTTATATATAGAGAGTGGTTTTGACTCTCTTAAGCAAATTGATCCATCTTTTGTGTATGAAGTTTATAATTTCTATTGGTGCATATCCAATCACCTAAATTTAAGATGAGAAGCAATTCTCCTTTGGTCGCAAATGGTTATCTATTAAGCAAAGAAAATCTTATTTCAATTTCAAACACATAAAAATGAAGCTCCCACTCTGTCAAAAAGGGACTAAAAGGGTCAACTACCACTTAAATTTCCTAATTAAATACCGTTACTAAATATGTGGATCCCATAGTGAAAGACGTATTACAGAATAATTCATGGGTAGAGCCAAAAGTGTGTAGTGTGAACTATACAAGCTACCAATAACATTGATTAAATGAAGAGTCAAAACCACTCTTTACTTTAAGTTTTAAAGATAAAGAGTTTGTTGGACAATTAAAAATGAGGATTGGCTCTTTATTAGAGGATATGACTAATAAAAACATCTTCGAGCATCTAAAAGAAACTCTTTAAATGCAAAATGCTCTCTATTTTGAAGAGACAACTCTTGAAATTAGGCTCCAATAGATTCTTTAATAACTTTTTAAAAAAGAGAGTAGATTTGGCTTCCTACCTTTGGAGAGCCAACTCACTCTTATTTGTATTTTATAATGTTTGCATTTAAGAAATTGCAATATTCAAAGGTCCAATTCTCCAATTATAATTCAATACTTTAGCTATTGAAATCTAAAAAAGTATATATAAATCAAAAAATGAGGAAAAAAAAACAATAAATAATTGCTAGAAAAATGAAATAAAGAGCTAAAAAGAGTTTTTTGGTGTGTATAAAAGATTTTACACTTTAAATTTAAAGATACTCTTTATTATATACAACAAGCTCTTTAAAAATAAAGATGCTCTTTGAGTCGCTCTTTATTTTAAAGAGCACATGTTTAATATAAAGAGCATCTTGATGAGATTTTGAAAATAAAGAGTGAGTTTTTGTATAATTCCAATAACTCTCTTTATATATATTTTCATAAGAAATTATTACTCAACTCTCTTGAGAGCATTAGAATTATGATATAAAGAATTAAAGTTTGAGTTTGGCTCTCTACTTTTGGAGAGTCAAATTCACTCTTCATTATATAATTTAAATATAGAGAGCTTGTTGGAGCCTCAAAATGAAGCTTGAATCTTTACAATAAAAAGAATTGAGCTAATAAAAACCCTATTGGAGATGCCCTTGCAATTTACATAATAATGCAAACATAAAATACAGCAAAACTGTGAAAGACAAAAATAGAACAATAAAATATATGAAAACAAACCACCAAACACCAAAAGCATTACAAATAGTTCCTCCACGGACCAAAACAAGAAGCAATTTGCTGTTTGATAAGAGAACTAGCAGTCAAACAGCATATTTGATAGCAACATTTACACTAATTCAAACGCTCGATCCAAACAATCACACAAATCAAGTAAACGTCACAACAAAAAACACATTGCAAGGGTCAACTTGGAGCGCACATCATAGATTAGATCCAAAAGTACAAGAAGAAAAGGGGAATAAATTCCTGTAGACATGCACAATCGACCTAATTTATCTACCATGTTCAATTTATAAACTACATGATGCATCTAATACGAATTATCTACAACAGATAAATTGAGTCATTATACCCAATCTGCCAACACATGTTGAGAGAAGTCAAAAAGGAATTTACCTAACACCAGCATCGCCAACAATACCGATGGCCATACCAGCAGAAAGGCCAGCGAGACCACAGGCGAGACCAGAAGAAAGGTGAGCATATCCATCAAACAAGTAGTAAGACTTAGCTTTAGGGTTAATTCCAGTACTGATAATCACAGCAATAATCAATCCATAAATACCCAACACTCCAGCCATAACTACTGGCACAATCGACTTCATCACCAGCTCAGGTCGCATCACACCCATCGACGCCACTCCAACGCCGCTCTTAGCCGTACCGTATGCCGCTCCCATACCTACACACGGAAGAATCAATTAAGTGATTACATTTTACACTTAGATCTCGAAATTGAATGAATTGGTGGATATTGAAAGGTACAGGAGAAGACTAGAGCGGCAGCGGCGCCCAGAAAGCCGAAGAACGGTGCCGTTTCATCGCCGCTGAAATTCGATGACATTGTTTCGAATTCGGATCGGTAAAATGCGTTGAACTTCGGAGAGAGAGGAGTTTTTTGATTGATGTCCTTAGCATATGCCGGGAGACAGAGGAGTTGTTTATAAACCGTTTATATGATTTTCCTAGTTGGGAAATTTGGCCAAGCAGACGGGTTCAACTAATAATTTGGACAAAAGCCTTTGACTTGTATTTTTTTAGAAAAAAATAATAAGAATGTAATAAAATGACAAAATTGCCCTTCACCTATTAACTCAAAATTCACCATTTTCCCCTAATTTCACCACTGTAAAACCCTTCTCCATTTTTTGAAATTTTCCGGCTTCCTTCTTCCCCTTCCATCACTTTTAAACTGTCTCTAAACAATCCTCAAATCGAGATAATCGAAACTCCTACTCATCATTGTTGACAACTCGAAGAGCCCAACCCAAGCATGAATAAGCAGCTGCCATTTGATTTCCAAAGTCTGAGTAAGAAGTTCAAGCAAGGAGTCGTTGGAAGGAGGTAAATTCATAACACTTTTATTTTACCTTTTTTTCCCAGTCATATTTGTAGTGCGAAGATGATTTTTGTGGGTTTGTATGATTTTTGTGGGTTGTTGCATACAAATATTAGGTATGCTTTCACTATATTAGTTTCAAGTTCTCCGCTCTTCCGTTCCTACCTGCACCTTATGTAACTTAGAGTTTGTTAGTTGATGAGTTTCAAACTAAGTTGAGGGATTTAATTAAGTTGCTATAATTTGTATTGTACAACTGACAAACTGCTATTTTAATTTTGTGCTGCAAGTGGAGTGACGAGTCTGTTAACTTAAATTGGTTTTGTGGTAACAATTTTACAATCAGCCTTTTCTAATCAATGTCTGAAGTAGTTTCAAATGATTTTTTCTGTTGTTAATATTCATTCTGGCTTAACAATACAGGGGTTCTATGTAATGTTAGACTACAACGTGCAAGACAAGATTTCATAGGGGATTGTTGCACTAATTTTTTTGGGGAGACGTTTGTTTTTCTTTTGACTGGATTAACTTAAATGAATGAAGTTGCAAACATTGTCCTATCTTTTTCAAAATTGGTTTTGTAATTCTAATTCAATGGATTTGGCTGTAATGGTTCATGCTCTTATGTCAAGGCTGTATTTTGGAGATTTTATTTCTCATTTTGGTTTTTGGATTCTCTGTCGGCTATAGTTACATTAAGAGGTAGTTCTTTGAATAGGTATTCCCTTAAGAACCTTAGCCTTTGAAAGACTGTAGTCCAGCAAGTGGTTCACAACTCAGTGATCCCCACACAGAGCATGTGATTTTTATGTCTAAACTCACAACAAAATAGGACATAATGATTTCCAGATCCACGTCCACAAATTTACCCTAAGATGTTCAGTGATGTCCTTCTCATCAACATCACATATTATCTTATCCATATCACCCACACGTATATACACCAACATGTAGATAAGAAACGCTGAAATGTGTATATATGGAATCTTGGCTTTCTCGTAGTTAATAATATGCTTTGAGAAATTAACGCTGAAATGTGTATGAATGGCAGGGAAGGTGTGTGTATTGTATTGTCAGTGTCTTTATTAGCTTGCACGAACCTTTTCTACTCTCTTGGTGAGTCACTCCTATTAATGTTTACGTTAATTTTTTGTGGTTTAAAAGTGAAGTTTCTTGAAATTGTGTATTATGTGCTTGTTTGTGGCTAACGTGGGAATTCATCGCAGAAGTATGGTGTTTACTGCATAAAGTGTTTAGGTGCAATCATTTTGATGTTTAACAACAAGCCCATTAGAAAGAATTTTGAAATGATTCTTCAAGAATAGAAATTTCTAGTGCTTTTATAACTCAATTGGATTTGATTAGGGTTTATTATATTTTGCTAGAACTTAACTTTTGCAATTAAAATACACATTATTGGTTATTGAGAACTGTCGTTATAAAAACTATATAACTGTCATTATATTTGTAAATGAAAGTTCATGAGAACGACACTTGTGTCGTTACTAAGTTATGAAAAGAACTACGAGAACAGCACAAGTGTCGCAACTGTGTAGAAAACGAAACTTGTCCCATTACTGATATGAGAACGTCTATTAGAACAGCACAAGTGTCGTTATATTGTGTAAATAAATGTCCATGAGAACGGCACAAGTGTCGTTAAGGAATATAAAACGGTACTTGTGTCGTTCTGCCTCTAAACACACTCATAACGAGCTACGACCCTTCCAAACCACGATAATCGATAAGTTGAATATTTTTGGGAGTTTCTTGATACATGATCTTTGGTGGCGTTCTCTTGATATGTTGTGATGTCCTCTAGTTGTTTTTTCTTATCTAACAATCTTTATATATGAAGAATGTTCAGATGCTGTCCATTGTTATTTTTGTCACAATTTGGTAAATGATTGCTTTGAGAAATAGGATTCCCAACTCAATTATTGTTTTGCATTTTTCATTAGGAAAAAAAGGATGCTGAAGACATAGTGAACGTGAAGATAAGTAATAGGTGTTGAGTAAAATTGATTGATGAAGTTTTCTACAACTTGGATGATAAGCATCAAGACTTATTCACAAACTCCTGCTTTGGACATTTGTTAAGCTTGAGGGAGATAAAGTTTACGTCACAATTGGTCCAACAGTTAATTCTGAGGTCGATAAGTACTTCAAAAGAAAATGAAGTATGGATTAAAATTGGAGACAAGCTTGCAAGATTTGGATTGCAAGAGTTCACATTGGTGACTGGGTTTAAAGCTGGGGACATGGAGGACGAGGATCCGACGCTCGGGCATAATTGTAGAC